AGCAACAATTAATCAATTGTGATATTACCACACAATAACCTTTTCCGTGTACTCTCTGAGCCATTTAAAAAAAAAAAAACCTGACTCACATAATTATTCTATGTCATTAACAATTATCCTTCCCAATTCAAATGGGAAAAAAATTCATATCTTGCCACTTGCATACATCTATTTATATATCAACCAGGTCACCAATCCTCTTTATGTGCTGGAGCTCAAAACTGATGACTCAGACTAGGGCAAATTATGAAATAGATAAAAATTTGATTCAAAAACGTTTCGACATTGTGCAACATGAATTATGATGAATATAGACAGGCCAACAATGGAAAAATTCTAAAATTTCTTATTTTTATTCTGTTGACCAAACTATTTCTTAAAATGAGAGTATTTACTAATTTTCAACTTAAACAAGCTCCCCTTTTCTTATTTTTCAACCAACCTACACTTGAATTTGGAAAAGAAATTTTAAAAAAGGAAAATGCTCAATTTCCAAAAACAGTGACAAGTAAGACAATATAATGACACACAGAGTCATGATATGTGAGCACAACGGACAAGACAGTTCTGATGAACTCCCCAGAGTCTTATCAAAGAGTACAGGACCGTCACCACCAATGTACACAGCCTTCAACACCCACATGCCACAGTGAGGCATGAATACCACTCAATTGAACTGTACATCTTTGGTACCAGTTTTTGGAACCTGAGGCGTGATAGTTAGGCTTTCCATCACTGCAAGCAAAAGGCCCGAGTTTGATCCCCGCATGAGGAAGTTTATTTTACAGAGTATCTTCATCTTTCTGCTAGGTCCTCTATCCCACAAAGTCTAAAGTGGGCCTGGCCTGTATGGTAGAAGTCTCCTGTCTACTAAATGATCAAAAAAATGTCAATGAGTGTAAAAAAAACAGTAAAAACCAATCAGTTAATCAAAAAAAGGCTTGCACCCTTTCAGTTTAAAAAAAAAAGGGGAGTCTTAAAAAATAATGTGGAAGTTTCTATTAACCCACTGCCCCCACAGGTTTTTCCCACTGATTTGCCTATTAAGCCGGAATCAATTTACTCAAACGTGCCTATTACAATAGGGTACATATTCGAATTGACTCTGCTACCATAACATTTCAACAAAAGTTTATATACAATGGCACTGCTAGCACTAGACCTAAAAGTTGGGGGCAGCGTTAGAACAAATGGATGATTCATCTACTACCTTGCTGAAGTATCACAATCACTCAAGGTCTGGTCAGCTTCACCACAGTTGTCGGCATCATCACTGTTATTCTCACCAGATAAAAATTATTATTGATGTCTGCAACTGGGTTGTCACTCAGTGCAATGAATAAATGTTTTTTTACCTAAAGCAAGGAAAAGGAAAGTTTTATTTAGGGAAATAAAAGATCAAACATATCAACAAACTACATGCAATTAATTACACTATTTCTATGACTCTTAATTGAAAACTTGACCTCATCAACATTGTCTACACACACATGGCCAGCACATATCAATAGTCATAGGAAAATTGCCAACCATATTATATTAGAAGTCTGAAGAAAATAGGTACTTTCAGTATACTATGGCCATATTGTCAGCCTGCTGTTGAAATGTACTAAGCCCAAAAGTTCCTTTTAAAATTGCAGTTTCTTTATCTGTGGTAAGTGCTCAAGAAATACTTTGTCAAAATTCAATTTTAAATGTGGAAAATAGAAGAAAAAATACACAATGTAAACACAATTTTTAAAAGAATAAAACAGTTTTTTCTCTCTCTCGTACAATTTTGCTGTCTGGGCTAAGTACATTTTAATAGTTTACCAACACTATGCATCATTTTTAAAAGATCTATTCAAATAAAGGTCAACACAATATTTACTCAAACAATGACTCTAAACTTTTCCCCCTCACCCATCATGACTAGGAAGTCAAATTTAACCATTTCAAAAAATCTCTCCTGAATAATATAAAAAGATTGGCAGTATTCCTATCAGAGACCGCAAACAAATGCTTTAAATTCAAGAAAAGCAAACACAGACAAAAGTCACCAGGAACCAAAATCCATAACCAGAACATGTTTTAACAAATATCAGGAGACTACATGGAAACAGTTTGCACTAGACCTACATGTCAGCCTCAACCAGATTGTCTGAAAATTTTGCGCAACATCCCCCATCCCATATGAGCTTTTGAGGGTGTCATAAAAGGAAGGACTTCCGAGCAACGAGTGACCACCCCAACAAACAAAATATAAAAGAGACCGAGACCTAACCCTAACCCAAACTCTACCCCTAGGCCTACCCCTAAAAAGAACATGCGATGGCCCTCATGTAAAAACTCCAAAATGTGAAGAAAAAAAACGACACACACTCCAAAACAAACAAGGAGCATAATAATAATAATATGGCCTACATCTACATTGCTATAATAGGGTTTGATACAATAACACAATAAAATTGGAATATGAATCCTCCATATAGATCTAGTAATCTAAATAAATCTAATCTAGATCTAGTAGAACAAGTGAAGAGGGACTCAGCTGAGTCTTGAATCTTAGATTCTAAATAAATAATTCACGCACCTGATGAAATGCTTTTTACCAACATTAATATTTCAGCGCAACCTATAATAGGGTTTGACACAATAGAATCGGAATATGAATCCTCCATTGAGATCTATAATGATCCATAAATCTAGATCTAGTAGAACAAGTGAGTCGGACTTGAATGAATCCACATGATCTGAACAATCAGTCAACAAAAGAAATTCAAAATGGCCACTCGAGCAAGAAACTGAAAGTAGATAATTTAGGTCATTGTCCTTTTTCGTATTCACATTTCTACTTGGGTTCCGACAATTATGTCGGAAACGCCAACGTTGGCAGTCGGCACGAAAACGAAAGTGCCGACAAAGCCGACAGGAGAAAAAGGGAGCGCTGGCAGTCGCCAGGCCTCGCACTTCGTACATTGACTAATACAGGTGGGCCTAGCGATAGCATTGGCCAGCTCACAGGGCGGGTCGCGATTGTCGGATTTCAGACGATTGTCGGCTAACATGCAGGTCTATTGCACACATTGTATAAATATCTGAATACATGGAAGTGTAAAATCCTTTAAACAGTTCCAGCAATAAATATTAAAAGATATCACCAATAAACTGTTCACATTTGATACATAAAGCAGCTCAGAAACTTATGTACGAGAAATTTTGGGGTCATTCGAAAGTCACAATAATCAGAAAGCAGGAAAAAAACAGACAACATATGGTTTAGATGATATTGTACAAAATGAGATTTACCAAAATAATGAGGAAATAAACAACATCGCAGACCTTTCTCACTCATACCAATTACAGTCAGATAGCAAGTACAAAAAGAAACCTTCAAAACAAATTGATTCTGTTATTTCAAAAACAATTTTTGAGAGAATGAGATTATAATATAGTATTCTCAAGAGGAAAAAAAGAAGTATCGAAGAAAAATGGTATTTGAACATTGTTGTTCACAAGTCTTTCAGAAATCATGCGTTACAGGCCTTACATTTCTTTCTACAAAATATGAATTTTCGAGAATTAAAACTAACTTCAAAAGTAGTAGGCCAGCCATGGACACTCCTCAAAAAAGCCCATTCTCCAGAATGAGAATTGTCAAATAAAATACAAATTGTCTTCATCAACGTGTAGCACACACAGGAAAAACTGATCCAGCAACAGGCCCCACTGCTAATATTCAGTGCCAATTTGATGAGTTTTATAAGTCTTGGTCATAGGGATAAAAAATCTAGTTAGAAGAAGACATTCAAGAGGCTATATTTTTCACTTATCAAAAAACCTACAGAATAAGACAGTCCACTGAAAAGAATGCAGACACCTTCAACTGTTCAATTAACTGACACATCCAACACGAGGAGACAAATTGTACTTTTGAGGATGCTCAACTATATACAGAATACCCCTTCACAATAATTCAGAAAAAAAACATAAGAGAAAAGAATTATGAAAATGTCTTTTAAAAGTTTGAAACCTTCCTAGTAATCATAATAACAAAACAAAAAAAGAAATTTCAAAAAAATACATACGCTGCAAAAATAAGCTTATATCAAAGATGAATTCCGAGTCTCCTTCCCTAGCAGTACACCATGTACGTGATGTATTGGACCAAGTTTACTTTTGCTGCGATATTGATTCAACTGCTCAAATCCTTAATTATCTCATTACACTTTGCCGTGTGGCAGGGTGACTTACATTATACGAATTATCAGACCACGTTCTAAAGCATAAAAAGTCCTGTTAGAGGTGCAACAGGTCTTTACATCAATCTCAGACAACTTTCAATTCAATGATTCACCTGCCCTACACTGCCTCAAGAGGAATGTTTTCTGTATTGTAGAATTGATCATAACAGGGTTACCTTGTTTTTTTGGCACCATAAATCTGCAACAATACTGTTAGTAATCACATGTCTTACAAATACATCATTAGCCTACAAATACTCAAAAAAGACAATTACAAACATGTTTTGCCAAACAAATAATTGCAAAATAAAACACTGCAAGAAGTTTAGCTGTTCAATTATCTACTTGCCATCCCCATTCCATTCTCCCTAGATTGTCTCCAGTCCTAAAATGTTCTAAGACATTCGCTCCTAGATGGCAGCTGGATCGGATAAGTAAAGTAAGATATTCATTTTTCAACTTTCCAAGACACAACTTTACACACTGCTGTCTCATCAACAGTGGTTAGCACATCAATAGCTGTGTAACATTCTGAATTCAAGGAAGCAATATGACTTTCTACTGTAAACAACCTTGTCCTGAATAAAAACCATAGGCTATTTTTTTACACGCATCCTTAACACCACCTCCCAGGGGGAAAAAAACTCTTTCAGCTTTTTTTAAGGTAAACAGTTCTTACAATCTTGTTCAAAGAAGATAAACAGTTTTTGTCTCAACTTACAGCCCAAATTTTACACCATAACTACAGTCAGATGGTTAAAATCAAAACACTTTTTTTTTTACAGTCATTAAAAAAAAATCAACAACAAAAGCAAAGAAAAAAACTGCAACAATTCGTAACTTTTCTGAAGAGGTAACTTGCATAAATACCATTAACTATCCATCATACAGATACATTTCTCGTAAGTGAAAAGCATCCTTTTATTAACTTTTGTGGAACTAAAATTAATAACTTGGCACTGTAAAACTTTATGCAGCGAACATCACATTGCAATGTAGAAAACTTGCATTTGTCTGAAAAATTACACTATTTCAATAATACATTTACAAAAGTAAAGAGTGTAAAAGACTCACAAAATCCATCATCTATTTACACTTATTATAGGCCTACAACATTTCTTTACCACAGTACCTGTAATGCATCAAACAAGTGAACAGAACTGCATCCAGAACATGAGCTTCCTGAACATCTATCCTTCAACACACCAACATTTGTGCTATGATATGCTCATATCTAACAGATCTGACCAAATTGAGTGGACAATCTTTTTTTTTTCAGTTTTGCTTTGTAAACTACTGCAAAAACAATTTAAAAATAATATGAGACATGCATTTATAGTCTTCCTGGAAAAGCTTAAAATAACAATATCATTTAACTCTATCCGTACGCCCTGGGGTCATTTTATACCCCTAGGGTTGTATTCTTCACATTTTAGAATACTTCTTGTACGAATATCTCTTTAAAACTTTTAGTATTTTTTAACAAAAATTATTTTGACAGACTGCTATGCAAAGCGTACATATCGGATCAACCAGTAAATTTCCTCCTTGGAAAGTGGTGGGGTGGCACAGAGTTCCCCACGTCGTATGGATACGATAGTAAAACACAACATACAGATAGGGTTACATTACTGTGTGTCTCAAAGCACATCTAAAATCTATCTTATTTGTGCACAAATCCTCAAATTCTGTCAAAGCTTTTTTATGAGACTGCAATGTCCTTCCTGTCTTGGAATGTACGTCCTACACTCACACATTACTGTGAATAATGAAAGATAGAGGTTTTCACAAGACAATTATCATAGTTACAAAGTTTGTTTGGAACCTTTGAAATCATTTCATTTTGTAAAATATTTCCGGAGAAGCCAAATCACTAAAACAGAAAAAAATTAGGGGAGAGGAGATGCTCACCGATTTTCTTCTGACGCTGTGGTGAGGAAAGAGATTAATGGAACTTCAAAGATGAAGAATAACTCAAATGAGGAAAATATAGAAAAACCATGAAAAAAACAAGAAAAAAAAAACCCTGAGCTTTGCCATGTGCCAGGATAATTTTTGCATGTTTCTGTGGCAATAAAACATCTAAAACATCAGAATGTCATTGTGCAGGTTCAATGCCCCTTTCAACACTATAAGATATTTAAGAGGCGGAACCTCCAAATATAACATTCTCCTCTGATAGGACTGACCCAGAATGGGTGCAGAGCCATTCCCCCAAAAAACAGTCCAAGTTCAGAACGCCCCCCTGGGGATCTGAACCAAGGCAATCTGTTCGGTCGTCCAGCATGATACCAAATGAGCCAATAGTGAGATAGTAATGTGAAAAAGTTGTGGAACAAAGAACAAGGACAGAGAGAGTAATGGAGCATCCATGGACCTACCTAAAACAAATCTAAAGCCCCTTTGACAAAAAGCAAATCCTTATATAAATCTCTCACTTTATCTACATACACTTCAACAATGACCTATTATACAAGCAAACCCTACGAGTCGACAGTTATCATCTGTCCACACCGGTATCCAATCCGAATGTCTGTTTGGCCGTCTCGTAAGCGGCAAAAGAGATGGCAACAGTGGGCATGATGCGGATGTAGTTGATGCTCAGGCCTCTGTACAGGCCCTTGACTATACCGTTCTCTCGATAGACTTCTCGCAACACCTCTAGCCAACTCCTGGAGAAAATATAGTATCTTTGTTGTTAAGTATGCTTGGGTAAAAAAAATATACATTGCACACAATAATGGCTATTTAGTGCAGGGTAAAAGCAAGACAGACAGAGAGACAACAGAGAGAAAGAAAACAAATAGGACGTATCGGTGGCGCCCTCTGTTAACGTACCAACGCAGTGTACCCTTTTACTTTTAGTCTACGAGTAGGCTAAACAAAAATGGCCATTTACTGCAATGAAAAAGCAATATGAACTGAAGGAAACAACAGAAAGAAAGAACAGAAGTAGGACCTTCCAGGGGCACCTTCCAACCAGCCATACAGTGTCACAGTGACAATGATGAGATCAGACAAAATGGGTACAAGTGTCCAAGTGTAGTCTTTTTTACACAGTGAGCCGGCACAACAACAGACAGACTGCGCTATGAACAGACCACAATACAAGCAACACTCTAAAGAAAAATAAGATGAATTCTACACCTGAGAACCCACAGACCATTGACAGAGCAAACAGTATGAGAATTTTTTTTTCCCTATGGAGAGGTATGACTGAGAGCTTCTTAGCGAAGTATGTATGGCTGCATAGACAAATTTTGAATAAATGTCCCCCAGAAACTGAATAAATTCAGCTTAAACAGGTACGAAATTAACACATAGTGACAGTTTCAAGGACAAAGAATCAGTACTGTGGTTTGAAAGTCAAAATTTCGGTACATAGTTGCATTGTAGACCTGCATAATATCAATGGCACTCAAGTATCAAGACAAGATCTTTCCATCAACTACAGAAAAGCTCTGTTAGTTTAATAAGAGTTTTACGGTGCTCACAGCTGCATTTATAGGTCATATAAGTGCGCAAAACAAGTTGGTGTTATTCGCAACAGTTCACCGCACGGCATGATTTTAGTCAAAATTTCTATTAAAATGCTAAAATTTCAAGGTAAAAAATTCTTAGTTTAAAATAACTTTTTAAATAACATTAAAAATGTTAACGTTATTCATAATTTTACATATTGGCCTTTAAAAAATGAAGGACTTTGTTGGGATCAACAACGAAAAACATCTTGCAATTTTTTGCATCTCTATATATTATATTTGTGAAAGTTCGTCACTTTAGCAGCCTAAAACTTCCGAACCACTTAACTTTCGAATTTGAAAAAAACAACTGTATAATCACCTGTACAAACACCCACTCGCCATTTGCCTCCTTGCATATATTTATGAGACTGTGTGAGACGTCCACCTGTCTAAGACAACCACTATTATTCTCATGGGACTCAAAAAGAAACCAGTGGGAAGCCTGAAACCAAAAGTAGTCTTGAGAAGGGTCAGACAAACCAGGGTAACTGTGACAATCTTAAAGAAGGTTCCCCAACAAGTTATCTTATCTAACCTCCTGTTAGGAGTTTGTCAGCCTTACCGTGGGTAGGCCAGATAAGTCTGTTGGTCTTTAGAGATCATTCCAGAAAGCTGCATCCTGCGCCGCACAACATCTAGAGGGTACCTGCAAAGTTTGATTTACAGCAATTACATGAGCTCCAATGAGGCTGAACTGATGGTAGGACAGGTACTAAATACATATCATTCCCGCC